GTGCTTTGTAATATGAGAGCATTCCAGGAGAGGGGGAGAAGACAGAAGAAGGTTCTGGACCAGGATATCCAGAAGAGTTGGGGGAAACTGTGACACACAAGCTCCCGTGATGGCTTACGACCCTCACAGGGTGCAGGGCAGTCTCCTGAAGCCCCCCTCACGGGGTGCAGGGCAGTCTCCTGAAGCCCCCCTCACAGGGGGCAGGGCAGTCTCCTGAAGCCCCCCTCACAGGGGGCAGGGCAGGCTCCTGAAGCCCCCAGAGGCTGCAGGGCCGCAAAGGCAGGTGAAGGCCAGGGCAGGAGTGGGAAAACCAGGCCGGTAAAGGAGGGTCTGTCAAGCTCCTTGGGAGCCGTGGGTAACTGGCAAACCCTCTCCTGGCCTTGTCTCCTGAGTGCTGAGATTGCTGACAGGCAATACCCACCCGGAGTTCCAGCTGACTCGCAGTTAGACTTGGTGGTTGCTAAGGACTCTGCCCCCCGAAAGTATGGTCTGCATGTGCCTGATCGTCTTATCTCAACTTGACACAAGCTGGAGTCATCAGAGGAGGGAGCCTCAACTGAGAAAATGCCTCCCTAATATTGGGCTGTAGTTGCCTGGCAGTGGTGGCCCACACCTTTAATCCCGGCACTCTGGAGGTAGAAGCAGGTAGATCTCTGTGAACTTGAGGTCAGCCTGGTCTATAGAGCAAGTTCCAGGGCAGCCAGAGCTGTTATACAAAGAAAAACCAAAAAAAGAAAAGGAAGAAAGAAAAAAGGGCTGTACACAAGCCTGTAGGGCATTTTCTTAATTAGTGATTGATGGGGGAGGGCCCAGCCCATTGTGGGTGGTGCCATCCCTAGACAGGTGGTCCTGAGTTCTATAAGAAAGCAGTCTGAGCAAGCCACAAGGAGCAAGCCAGTAAGCAGCACTCCTCCATGGCCTCTGCATTGGCTACTGCCTCCAGGTTCCTGCCCTGTTTGAGTTCCTGTCCTGACTTCCTTTGATGATGAACTGTGATGTGGAAGTATAAGCTAAATAAACCTTTTCCTCCCCAAGTTTCTTTGGTCATGGTGTTTCGTCACAGCAGTAGTGACCCTAAGACACTGTGATTCAAAAGAGCGACAGGTTTCTCCACTGGGAGCTGGCTTGATAGTCCTGGTTTATATTTGGATAATGGAGCTCTATGTTGTCATTTTATAGACTCTTAGAATCCTCTTCACCAGGCTGGGTGTGGTGGCACACACCTTTGATCCCAGCACTTGGGAGGCAGAGGCCGGTGGATCTCTGAATTCGAGGCCAGCCTGAGCTACATAGTTCTAGGACAGCCAGTTCTACATAGACAGTCCTTATTTCAAAAACAAACAAAAAAAGAATCCTCTTTACCTTGAGACAATGGATCTGTCTGCCAACTTCTAGACCAAAACTTCGGCTCATTTGATGCAGTGCTTTCCCCAAAGCAGGTATAGCTCATGGTGGAACATTTGTCTAACTTACACGAGGTCATGGGTTCAATCTTAGAGGGGCAAAAAAGAAAAAGAAAGAAAAATGAAGAAAAAAGTGAGATAAAGAGGTGGAAGCTGGGCTTGGTGGCTTGTACTTTAATCTTAGCACTCAGAGGGACTGCTGTGAGTTTAAGGACAGCCTGGGCTACACACTAAGTCTGAGGCCTGCCTGCACTACATAGCAAGACTCTGTCTCAGGAAAGCAAAAGCAGAGGGTCATTGAGCTGGCTCAGTAAAGGTCCCTGCTGCCAATGCAACGACCTAAGTTCCACCTCAAGGATCCGTGGTGGCAGAAGAGAACTGACTCCCAGAAGTTGTTCTCTGGTCTCTAAACATGCTCTGTGGCGGACATGTGCCCCTGCCAATAAACTGAACACACACAAACACACGTGCATGAGGTTCCATGACCTAACGAGTTGGAGAATAGGTAGGGTAAACAGTTAACAGTTGTTTTTAAAATGTAACGAGTTTTTTAAAGATATACTCACTTTTATGTGTATGAGTACTTTGCCTGCATGTATGTATGTGCACCAAGTGTGTGCCTGGTGCCTGTGGCAGCCAGAAGAGGATGGGCTCCACATGGGCCTTGAGGAGCCCCAAATCTTCTGCTGACCTGGTCTGAGGGCCACTGATGGGCGGACATGTCATAGCTGTGGACTCACAGTTTCAGAGTTGGTTTTCTTTCTTTTTATAGAGGAGCCTTTATTTAGTTATTTTATTGCATGTATTTATTTGTGTGCGTGCACGCGCACATGTGTGTGGGCATGTATGCTATGGCGTGCATGTGGAGGTCAGAGGACACTGAGTGGAGCCAGGGCTCTCCTTTCTGCACGTGGCTCTCAGAGACTGAACTCTGGCTGCTATGTTGGGCAGCCAGTGAGCCATGCCACACCGTCAGAGTCCCCTGAGCTGGCCTCAGATCGGGACGGAGGTAAGTTGACGAGGAATTTCCGATGTCTCCCTGGGGTGGGGAGGCTGTGCTGTGTTGCATTCACTTACCTCTAGGTGTTTAACACCCCCACTTTCCATGCCAGTCCCCTCTCCCCGCAGCCCTGCCCTGCCTGTCACCACCCTGCCATCTTTCCCCTTCATCCCTCCTTTGGGTTCCTTCTGCCTCCTCTGTGTTCTCTCTGCCCCCAGCCTGGCAGCCTGCCCTGTAGGAATGTTAATTAGCATTCACGATTTAATTAATTCAGTAGCTAATTAATGATTGGGGACTGGGGGGTGGGGAGCTAGGATGCTGGGGGGGGGGGTTGTGAGCCGAAGGTGGCAGAGAGAAGTAGCCGAGGCTGCAGAAGGCATCGCAGATGGCAGTGTGGTGGCTGGCACGGTGCCCACTGCCATGGATGCGAGCACACTTGCACGCACGCACACGTACACACACAAAACCGGAAAGGGTGATCGAGGAATAGAATCAAAAGCCAGGAGAGAAGGGCACAGGGGCCCTGGAAACCAGGGCTGGGGGGGCTGGGGGGTGGGGAAGACTCCAGGTCTATTTGAATCTACTCCGGAAGTAGAAGAGTAGGGAAAAAAAAGAAACAACCACGGGCGCAGAAAGAAGAGAGCTCTCCCGGTACCCCACCCCACCCCCACCCTACCCCGGCCACCCCTCCTCCTTGGCATCGGATTCATGGGCACCAGCTGAGGACAGGGTCCCCTCCCTTTGCCTGCCACATAAATATTGGCAACGAGGACCCAGACTCTGAAGGACAGGGCATTCCAAAGAAAATAGTTTTCATTTTAAGTTGCCTTTAAATGTATATATATATATGTGTGTGTGTGCATATATATATACATACATAACATATAATGTATATTATATATATATTGAAATTGCACCTGTTTTGGCATGAGGGTGAAGGCGAGTGAAAGAAGGTGACCGAGCCAGGAGGCGAGAGCGCACAGATGGCTTGGTGGTGGTATGGTGTGGTGAGTTGTGGGAAGGAAGGAGGGGGGTGGTATAGAGGTTGGGATGGGTGGGATGAGGACCCTGTCTTCCTCTTTTCATCCTACTATGGTTGAAGGAGAAAGAGAAAGAAAGAGAAAGGGATGGGGAGAGGAGCGAGACAGATGGCAGAGTGGAGGGGCGGCAGCCAGTGCCGGCACTGCCCAGCTTGGGCGGACCCAGCTCCCCCCGCCTGCCAGCTCTCCAAATGCCACCCTTCCCCCATCCTCCCCTCTCCCCATCCCCCCAGCTTGGCACTGATCTCAGGGAGAGAGAGGGAGGGAGGCTGGGCAAAGAGCATCTGTTCCCTCCATTCTCCCAGCTCCATCGGCTGCCAACCTAGGGCCGTCGCCTGCCTCCATCACCCCTTCGCCAGCCTGCCCACCACCCAATCCCAAACGGGTACTGGATCAGGTGCCGAATCTGGCTGCCTCCTCGGGCACCGGTCACTGCATTGCCGTGTGTCTGCCCACCGCTGCCTGGCACTCGTGGGGCCGTGTATGTGTGTGTGTGTGTGTGTGTGTGTTTGTGTGTGTGCGCGCGTGTGTGTACATGTACGCATACGCGTGTGTTGTATGTGAGCCTCCTGGGCACGGGTGGGGGTTGGCATTGCGGTTGCCACTGTAGCATCCAACTAGGACAGAAGGATGGAGTGGAAGAGGGAGGGGAGAGGCGTGGGGCCTTGGAGGGGAGGAAGAGGGGGCATGAGTTGCTTCATGCTGTCTGATTGCAGGCATGGGCACGGCAGCTGCCACCCTTGTGCCCATGGAGATGGGAGGGGACGAGTGGAGGGGCAGAGACGGGAGCCCTTGTGCGGCACACAGGAGCTGTTGGCATCACAAGTGTTGGGCTCGTGCCCAGGTCTGGGGTTATGGGGACTAGAGGGACAAGGAGGTAGAGAGGGGGTGTTGCTGCGGATGCCGCTGTCCCTCTAGGATGAGCTCTGAGAAGTGTCTGGACTAGGAGGGAGTTACCTCTGTCCCAGCCTGGGGCGTGAAGAGAGTAGATGGGGAGGCGCCAAGGAAGAATGGAAGAGGGAGGAGGAGGGACTGTGCCACTACTACCCAGGGAGAGCCTCTTTGGGCGGCCAGGGTGGCCTCTTAGGAGAACCCTGAGGAAGACAGCAGGAGAACTGGGCTGCGAGGGAAGCTGGCCCTGCCCGTGGGGCCTGGCACGGCTCTGGTGTTGTGTAGACTGGGGAGGGTGACGGTGCCCCTCTCACTGGGTGAAGAAGGTTGTTGTGCCAGGAGTTAGATGGTAGGATGAAGGACGTTTTCTTTGGGAGAAGAGACTTTCCTGCCAGGTCCTCCTTCCCATTCCCTCTTAGACGTGGAGGCTGAATGACAGACGGAGTGCCACATGAGGACACAATGGAGGGAGCGCGCCATCGCTAAGACCCCAAGGAAGAAGCGTGGCGAGCCCCGACAGTGGTGCTGGCCTCCCCGCTGAAGATGGCCGTGTCCTCTAGCCCGGTCTGTATGTACCACGATTGCAGGTGCTGCAGGGTGGGGCTGCGTGGGCAGCGGGGCTGTGGAATGGCGAGGGTACCTTTGCGTGGATCCCATTGGCACCGTCCACTCTTAGAAGTGTGGCTGGATTTTCTCCTTCCTCTCTCTTTCATCATCACCATCTGGGTCCCACTGCTTGGCACCCAACCAAGCCGATGCCGCCCCAATTGGCAGTACTGCACTGGCATGTGACCAGTGACTCAGATTCTGGCACTGCGGCAGATGGAGAGCCGCCAAACTTGCTCAGGATAACCCCTTGGCGACCACAGAGGGAGAGGGGTCATGCGCACGGAAGGGCAGGCTGGGTGGAGAGCTCCATGTTGGGAAGTGGCACACCAGGCTGCCCTTCCCAGGTGGACTAAAGCTGGCATTCCCCACAGCCTTCCACCTCTGCTGGTCTCCGAACTGCACACTCGTCTCTTTCCACCTCCACTAGCCCCAGTAAGGGGATTCAGATGGCACTGGACTGTTTCTGAGCAGCTAGGCAAAGGAATCCGGAGCACAGAGGGACAGGACATCATCTACAGCCACACCTGAAGCCAGTGGCTGTGGGCTTCTCTGGGCAGCTAGGGCAGGAAAAAAAAATGCAGGGTGAAGAGGCCTGGGGGGAGACTTAACAGCTGTGCTGTTACTCAGACATCCCGAAAAGAGTGGAGGGAGACCCTCCTCCGGCTCTGCTGTTAGGGAGTCACTGGGCTTTATATGTGTATTTCCTGCTGGCTTGTGGTTGAGATGAACTAGTCCCTTGTTGAAATGTCCCTAGAAGGATGAGAGGCATTCTGGAACTGGAGAGGTGCGGTGTAGGGAAGACAATGGTACCTAGGACTTCTACAGAGACTAAGATTTTTATGTTTAGGGATTTCCTAATGGTATCCCAGATAGGACCAAACTAATTTCTGTCTTTGAAATTTCCTCTTGGAAGGAGAACAAGGTCCAATAGTGACTATGATAGAGAAGATGCTTTGAAGGACAATCTCCAGTACCTGTGGTGACACACACCAGCCCCTGAAAAATCTTAACCTTAAAATGCCCTCTGCAAGAGTCTTCAGTAGCACTGGATTTCCCTAATTCCTGGGTAGGCAGAGGCTGTAGGCCAGCAGTCTGGAAGATCTGGAGAAAAAGATCTGCAGCTTTGGGTAAAGTCAAAGGGGAGACTAATGGTTCTCAGCGATAAGGCCTGCTCGTGGGAAGTAAGCGGAGGTGGGGGCGTGGGCGGAGGTGTTGCCCATGCTGGGCAGAGCTGCGCTGGGCTGGGGGAGTTCTGATTTTAACATCTCTGGAAGTGGATGGCAGCTTCAGAAGAAGCAAGGTTTCCACGGGAGAAGAGAAAGCTGGAGGTCTTCCGTCAACACGGTAAGTGGATAGTGGTTAAGAATTGTTTTTTTGCTTTTAGAGAGAAAGCCACTATAAGCACATGATACCATCAGAGTCTGGTAGATTGCAAGGTTGAAGGTGTTTGTCAAGGTAACGAAAATGGTGTATCTAAGGAGAAAAAAGTAGAATTGGATGTAGCTTAGTGGCAGAGCACTTGCCTAGCATGTGCGAGGTCTTGGGTTCAATCCCTGGCACTAAAGGGGGGAAAAAGCCTGAAGTGATGCTTGTCACCGTGTGGGAGCCTCTGGTGCAGCAGAATTGTTCTGGGGACTGGAGAGCTGGGACAGGTCACAGTTGTACATGCGAGGCTGAGCTCTCTAGGACAGCAGCTCTTAGCCAACAGCATACATCATTTCAGCAGGAGTTTCTGATTCACTTGGTGAGCACCGCGGCTCAGAAATACATTTAATCATCATTTGTGGTACTGGGAATTGAACCCAGGACTTGTGCATGATAGGCAAACACTCTATCATTGAGTTATGTCCCCTTTTTGCTTTTTATTTTGAGATGGGGTCTTGCTAAGTTCAAGGCTGGCCTTGAACGAACTCTAGTCCAGGCTATCTTGAATATGTGAACCTCCTACCCCAGTCACTCTCAAAGCCAGCATTACAGGCTTGTACCCCTAGACTTATCTTAGGATGTATTTTAAACTAACACTCAGGTAACCATGATGTAGGTGGACAAACTTTGGGACAGATTGTTCCGCGAGATGGCATTCTTCTTGGAGGGCGGTCCGTCTCATCTAAACTTTCCTTGTCTTTGTATCTGTTTTATCTTGATAAAACACCTTTCACGTCAAACCAATGATATATATGGTGTGGGGTGTATGTACGTTTATGCTGAGTGAGGGTAGCTGGTAAATGGGGGGGATTGTGAGGTCCACTTAGGACATGTCACTTGTTAGAGCAGTGATTGCAGTTGGCAGTAGTTATCACAGAAGACCCCCCTGCCACACACACACACCTTGATAACACTTTCAAAGTCCCACTTCCTTTTCCTCCCAGTTCCGATTGCTAGCTGCCACGTGTTTCTAAAGTCTTCCCATCGAGAACCATGAGATTAGGAGCATTGTTGGAAGTCTTCTGTGTCCCTGTGAGATCTGTATGGATTTTGTGGTGAGAGAGATCCTGTCTTTTGGAGACCTGGGTTGTGAAGTAGTAGTGTACAGGTCTGGGCCCACGGCAGTATTGGCAAATGCGCACAACTTACAGATAGTCATTTGACGGGATGTGTCCAGTGTGGGCATTCTCCAAGTTCAGTGAAGATGCTGTGCAGGGTCTGCTGTTGTTATAGAAGGACCGCAGACTTCTAGGCATGGGCAACAGTGAGCTCCAGCTGACCACCCACTGCTGGGTGTTAGCCATCGGGCAGACTACGCATGGCTGGCTAAGGCTGCTCCCACTCTCCTTGACAGGTTCAGCCTCGTTCTGTTCTTCTTACAACCACTCAGCCCGCTTCTCCACTAACTTCCAGCCAGACACCTCTGTCACTGGGGCATTGCCAGAAACCCATGTCATCCTGTCAGGGAATAATGCTATCTACTCTAATTTCTGTTTGTGTTTTGGTTAGAGAATTAGCTGGGTCCTTCTATATCAAGGTGAGTCACAGGGTGGTCACACAATTGGGTCACCTAGTTTTGTCACTCGATGCTTTTGGGAAATGTAGTGTGTCTTCACAGGCACAGGCCTGTGACCTCAGCTGCTCAGGAGGCTGAGGCAGGAGGATCGGGAGCTTAAGAGCTGATTGAGCTAGAGAGCAAGTTCAGACCGTCTCAAAAGAATGAATTTATTAAAAATTAAAAAAAAAAAAGAAAGAAAAAAGAAAAAGGGAGTCAGTTGTGCTTGCTTGTAATTCCAGCAATTAGGACATGGAGGCCAGAAGACCCAGAGTTCAAGGTCATTCTGAGCTACACAGAGAGTTAAGTCTAGCGTAGGCTACATGAGACCCTGTGTTAAAAAAAGAAGCAAGGGTGTCGGTGTGCGGAATGGGGGTGTGCTTTAGAGGAAGAGCTCCTGCTTGATGTTCCTGGGGCCCTGGGTTTGATCCCTAGTTCCACACAAGGTGTAGGCTCTTCCAAGAGGAGTGTTCTCTCAATGTTGTTTGTCTTTCCTTCAAACTTAACAGACCTTGGTCTAGCCTTCCCTAAACGTCCTCTCTCCGAGTTTCATTTCATCGTTTCGTAATGTTTCCACGCTCCACTCCTGTAGGCTCTGCTGCTTGGTCTACCGCCCTTATTCGGTGGTAACTGCGGCCATGGTCTTTCTTCCTAATTCAGTCTCCTAGTCTGACTGGTTTCTGAGATGTGTCCCCTGACTTCCCAATACCAGGCCTTCCTGTAACAGAGTCCCAGCCCGGTCCACCCAGTTTCAGGCTGATATGAATGTTTTGACTCTCACCTACCTCTCTCAGCCATAGACAACAATCATTTACAGCCTTTCCTTCATGAGTTAATTGTGTTCAACACTAGCGGACACTGGTCACATTTTCCTGAGACTTGCTGCATTTGTGAGCTTTCTCTGTCTCCATTCACACGAGGATAATTAGCACATGTGAAGTGTTTACAGGCAAGCGCCTTTCCGCTAACCTACAACTTCAATTCCTAGAAGGTACTGCTTCTTAAGGGTGTGAAGGTTATCTCAGGGCATGTTCTCAGGCAAGTGTAAGCCTCTGTGTGTGTGTGTGTGCATTCATCTCCCTGCAGACCTCTTGGCTGGGGTCTGCTGTTCCTTCTGAGAATGGATTTGTTTTGTTGGTGGGGTGCTATACACAGAACTCTGTTTCTATTCCTATGTAAATGGTTAGTTTTGTTTTTTTTTTTTGAGACAGAGGCTCACTGTATAGCCCTGATTGGCCTGGAATCCTATCTGTAGACCAGGCTGGCCTTGAGCTCCCAGAGATCCGTCTGCCTCTGCCTCCTGAGTGACTAAAGGTGTCCACCACCATGGCCAGTCTCATATGTGAATGTTTTTATAGCGATGAATGCCTAGATGAGCAAACGTCTTGAAACAGAAGGGTGATGAGAACTTGGCGATTTTGTCTGACACTAAGCAATAGAAAGAAGGCAGTAGCTGGGTCTATTATGCTTAGAATAATTGGCTTTCTTGCTTCTTCTGCAAGCTTCTGTAAGTTCACCCTAGGGCTAGAGGTTTGGGGTAAGAACCGGTTTGTCTTACTGCGGATCTGCCCTATCTGGCTACTAAGGCTTCAGATTTCTCTCACGTTCTTCCAGCCAACTTTGATTTTTCTTCTTTCCTGTTGAGGACTGAGTACCTTGTGATCCTCTCACGAGGGTTAGAGCAAAGACAGGCAAGGTGATTTGCACTTCCTGTCTCCCAGCAATGACCCTGGAGTGAGATGGGACCTGGATTTGGGTGTTTCTTTAGGGTTGTGTATGTTAGGAATCCCAAAGAAGCCACGTGGACCCATATAATGAGGTCCTAGTTCACGCCTGCTTGACAGACAGGCAGAAGCATTTGTAGGTGTCACCGTGCCTGTGCCTGCCTTTCATCTGTTATTCCATAAGACCCTGCTGACTTGATGGTCACCTGTCACCTCTAGGATTCTTCAGACACCAGGTCCCCTAGTGTGCACGACTGTCTGAAGCAGGAGTGTTGCTGCTCAGTGTGGCCTGAGAGACTGCAGACTGCTCCACCCTGAAGAGTGTGTTGACTGACCTGTCAGCAGCTCCAAGGTTCCTGGGAAAGGGCAGTTGCTCAGTCAGTTTCTGTCTACTGTTGTGACTACACGGTGTGTCCCAGGTCACTGTGTTCAAGAGTAAGAAGGCATGAGGAGGAGGAGGAGGAGGAGTTTCTGGTTACAGTAACTTGGTAAAACCATTCATAGTTCAAACTTAATTCAACCTAACCAGGCTAAAATGCATGACACAACACCTCTAATTATCCCAAGGCAGATGTTTACCAAGATTTTCTTTTAAAGTTCCTTCTTTTTCTTTTCTTTCTTCCTTTTTATCTTTTATACACAAGTCACATTCCCAGAAAGCAGAGTTAAGAAAAAAAACAAAAAACAAAAACAAAAAAACCCTTTTTTCCTCATACACATGCTGCTAAGAAAATACTTTTATACATAGATTTTCAACAAGTGAGAGAAAAGGATGGGGGGTATGTGTGGCTGTGAGAGATGCTGAGAGGCAGGGACCAGTGGCGGCAGGCACCAGACCACCACGAGCTAGATTTTCTAGTGACTGGCATTTTTGGTATCAACAGAACTGGTTTCATCTTCCCCTCAGCTGGCTCGAGCTAGGAGTTTGTTAACCTTCAAAGTGAATGGCACAGGAGTTTGAGATCCAGAATATGGAGAACTAAGGATTTAAGCTGACCCTCCCCTCCTCTCCCTTTCTGCACACAAAGCGTTGCTTTCCTGTTGGTATGTGGCTGGGGGACCCTGCAAACGCTAAGTTCCAGGGTGGGCAGATAAATATTCAATGGGCAACTAATGCACGAGGCCTGGAGGGACTGCTGGGAGCTGGGGGGAGATGAAATAGCTGGAGGAGGTGGGGAATTGGCAGGCTTTTCTTTGCTAAAATAAAACCTCTATCAAATCTCTCCTGTGCCGTTCGGGCTAGATTTGGGGATTGCCAAAATGACCCCCGACGGTCACACAGGAAGTAAGATTGGGTGTGGGAAGCTTCTCCTAGGACACTGGCCTCCTGTTGTATCCCTGGAGAGCAGGTTGTGTTCACAGTCCCGCTCCCTACACATCTTCTTACAGGTCCTTATGCCTTAACAGACAGGCAGACTTTGGACAACACCTCCAGTAGATGCCGGTTAATGGAGGGGCAAGGGAGAGGGCCGAGGACTAGGCGGAGGAAAAGTGGAGGGGGGACAGGGGAGCCTGTAAAAGGCAAAGGAGGTTCCAGACAGTCAGAAACACCACAGGAGCCCTGGGGAGGAAAGAGTCAATGAGAAGAGAAAAGGACAGGCAAAAGGGATCCACGTCTTGATTTCAGAAACCAGAACTGCCCCCAACTGTGCCCTTCTGGGGATGGCCAAGACTCTTGAACAAGGCTTTCTGACCACTGAGAATGAGATGTATCTTCTGTCCTGACACATGGTCACCTCAGGGGATGGGAGTCATGTCGGGGACTTGGCACAGCGAGGGGAAGGCCGCAGAGCCTACAGTCCTGTGGATCGCCCCAGTGAGGACGTCGAGGCATCAGAGCTCAGACTGCAGGAAACTCTCAAATGGGGGTGGGAGGAAGGGAGGGGGACACAAACAGAAAAACAAAAACAAAACCCAAACCAAACCAAACCAAAGTGGGGGGAAAAACCACTTGTTTGATGGGAGTTTTTTTTTTTTTTTTTTCTCTCTCTCTGTATATTCAAAGTTTATGTTTTTCTTTACTTCATTCCTCTGGTCTCTCCATCTCTCTCTCGTGAATGTGCACACTCTCTCTTGCTCTTGTTTATTTGGTGTGTTTCAGGTTTTTTTTTTTTTTTTTAAGAACTTTGGATTTGCCATTGGTGGGCAATGCTGATCCCCCGAGGCTGGACTGCCCTTGGCAGGGCTGGGGCACGGGGCAGGCCCACGGCTGCTGAGAGGATCTCTGTGTTTAAAGCCTTTGAGAAAAAGTTACTGCGGTTTCCAGGGTATGGGGTGAGGGCTGGTAGAAGGGTTCCCGGCAGCCGCTTCCCCGGGAGTCCAGGCTGCGAGGGTCCCATCAGGTGAGGAGAGGGTCAGGGGGGAGGGGAGTGGGGGAGAGTGAACAGGGGCGCCTCTCCCCCTGACAGCCTCCAGTTTGGTTAGTTTTATGGGCTCCCTGCCCATCCCAGGCTCCAACCTTAGGAACCAGTTGGGTTTTTGGAGTTTGTGAGCAGTCTGTGCTCTGGACAAGGGGCAAGGAGGAGGGTGTGTGTGTGTGGCAAAGTTGATTCTTTCCACCCCCTCTTTTGTCTTGGGTTTTCTTTTGTCTTCTTCTTTTCTTTCTTTTGGCGTTGTCTCAGTCAGTGTAATAGTATGGGAAAGGTGTGTGTTTACAGTGGGATCGATGGGCAGGACGAGGGGCCGGGGCAGACGTGTATGCCAAGGTGTGTGTGTGGGGGGGGGGCGGGCGGTGCGTCTGCAAGGGGCTGAGAATGAGGGTCAGAGTATCGGTGGGAGGGGGAGGAGGCAGGACTCTGCTGGAGGTGGGGTGTGTGAAGCCCACTGCCGGTGGGAATCGACCGACTCCCATGAGGTGGGCAGAGCTGAAGGTTGGGGTGAGGGAACCCTGAGGCCCTCTCTTGCCCCATCTTGGTTTATCTGTTTATAAAGCTACAAGTGTAGAGGTAGTAGTAGTTTTGGGGTTGGGGTCCGTGTGAGGTAATCTTGCTTCCTCTTTGGCAAAGGCCACCGCAGCCGGGACAGCAGTGGCGCTGTTGGTGACGGTGATGGGGGGGCCTCCGGGGGGTGGGGCTGCCTTGCGCCTGTGGGCTGAGGAGCGCAGATGGGAGGCCAGGGCCTCGCGCCCGCTCAGCAGCACCTCGCAGGCCAGGCAGTGGTAGGTGCAGACGGGTACCCGCAGCGGGGGAGGCATGGGACCCCCGGAACCCCGCCCAAAGAAGCAGAAGGATCTCTGGTGGGCGGCGGCGGGGGCCTCGCCGTCAAATGCCATCTTGCACTGACGGCACAGGTAGCGGTGAGTGACATCGACGGTGGAGATGCCGGCGCTGCCCGTCAGCAGCTCGTCGGCCTCACCGCTTTCCCCTTCCCGGGGAGCCGGCAGCTCGGGGGGCTTTGGGGGTGCTGTGGCTGTAGGCTCGGGGGCTTGGGGTGGTTGGAGGAGGGCATTGGGGAGCAGCCCAATGAGGGTCTGAGGTATCACCGGGTTCATGGGGAACAGCCCCTTCTTCATGCCGTAAAGCTGTTGGAAGTAGGCCCCCTGTAACTGGGGGCCAAAGACGGCGGGTGGAGCCGCCCCGCCTGACGGGGGCAGTGGGAAGGGCAGGAACTGGCCCCCCAGCAGGGCGGGGACAGTGGCCTTCAGTGCTTTCAGGTTCTTGAGCGCATCCGTGGAGGAGTTGGGAAGGGTTGCCACCGGCTTTCGCTCACCGGAGACTTTGTCTCCTGGGGGCTCAGGCGCTGGGCCAGGGGTGGGGTCAGCAGAGCTGTTGGTTTGGTTGGACACGGGTCTCTGAGGTAAGGGGCGGCCTGGACCAGCAGTCTGGACCACTGTGGTGGCAGGCAGGACCGAAGTGGCGAGGCCGAGGAGGCCTGAGGAGGCTGCAGGGCCTAGGAAGACGAAAGGAATGGTGAAGGATTAATCCTTACAGACCTCCCTGCTCCAGACCACTACTGCACACACCCTTCCCCTACCCAGCGGCCGGTAAGAGGAGAGTCAACCAGGAGAGGAAGGGCATGCAGTTAGAGGTGATGCTCTCTCCAGGCCGGCTCCTCCCAGCCTCCCCAACTCACCTGAATTGAAAGAAGCTATGCTTCCGAGTGGTGGCTGGGCCAGAGCTGGGCCTGGCAAGAGGACAGGGGCCAGGCGCGGCAGGGTCGGGGAAGCCCCCAAGGGCACAGAGGCAGGGGTGGTGGCGGGCGGCCCTTTGGGAGCCAGCGGGGCCTCGGGCGCCGGAGCTAAGTCATAGCATTTGCTTTCACTCTTGAGCTGGGCTCGGACTGCCTCCTTGAGCTTGGCCAGGTGCTGTCGGGAGAAGAGGTGGCCCCGGCAGGAGACGTAGAAGTCGTACTTGACATCGCAGTAAGGGCAGTCGGTGCGCTGGGCCGCCAAGGTGCCCTCGCTGCTGCTGCTGCTGCTGCCGCCCCCGCTGCCTGCAGGCGCGGTCCCCTGCAGTTTGGCTTTCTTTTCCTTGGCACGAGCGTTTTGGAACCAGACCTGAATGACTCTCTTGGGCAGTCCGATTTCCTCCCCCAGCACCTCACACTCCTGCATAGTAGGGGTGCGGTAGGCTTCGTAGCAGGCTTTCATGATCTTCAGCTGCAGACTGCTCATCTGGGTCCTGTATCGCCGCTGCCCCATCCCATCCGGAACCCCAGTCCCACCTCCTGGTCCCCCGCTGGTCCCTCCAGCCCCAGGGGATTCTGGTTCCGCCAGGCTGGAAGCAGATGAGTCACTCAGGTCTCCTGCCGATGGACTGCAAGCCTCGCTTTCCGGAGATACTTTAGAGGGTTCCTCTGGGCCTTCATCCTCACTGAGTGCGGGAGCTGGGAGGGGCGGAGGGGGCTCTGGTGTTGGCACAGCGGCCTCTTTCCCGGGTGGTAGGAACGACAGAGGCCCGGCAGCCGGGGTGACTGCCGGGTAGGGGAAAGCAGGGGCCTCTCTCTTTGGGGCTTCCTTCCCGGTGTCATCTTCTATCTTGCTCAACAGGAGGTTGAATTTGGGGAAGGGCGCTGGGGTGGGCGTAACGGTGGGTTTCACCGCCGGACCAGCGACTCCCCCAGGGGTGCTTCGAAACTGGCCTTTCCTCTCGCGGGCTCGGGTGTTCTGGAACCAGACCTGCACCACTCGCTTTTTGAGCCCCACCTCCTCAGAGATGCAGTCGAGCATCTTCCGCGTGGGGTTGGAGTCCTGCATGTACCAGCGGTACAGGATCTCCAGCTGCTCGGGCAGGATGGTAGTGCGCAGGCGCTTGTCTTTGGGGGGTTCGCCCTCGCCTCCAGCCCCTGCTTCACTGCCTGTGGGAGACAGACTGCCATCGTCGTGCTTCCGCTTGAGGGGCGTCCCCGTCGCCGATGAGGGGCCCGATGCTCCAGGGTGTCGCTCCCCCAACACCAGCAGAGGCAGGTCCAGGAGCTGTGATGCAGCATTGGGCTGCGCCGACGACGATGGTGGGAAATGGAGTCGGTGGTGAGCGGCCAGGAGGTCCTGGCTGGGGAAGGAAACGGCACACTGCTCACAGGCGTGGGCGGGAGGTGGTGGGGACGCCTTCCCTTCAGACTCTTTGCCCTCCGGCCTTGTCGGCTCTGCTTGGTTCAGGTCCTCCCCACCTGCGTGCAGTTCGGGTGACGGGCCACCACGCCCGTCGGCGGTGTCGGGGTTCCGCTCCTCCACCTCTTCTTCCTCCACCTCCTCTTCCTCCTCCCCTGCCTCGGCCTCCTCCTCCTCAGGAGGCTGGTCATCATAGCACTTCTTGAGGTGCCGAACTAACTCGAAAACGCAGGCGAAGGTGGCGTGGCAGCGCCTGCAGCCCGAGTGCACCCCGGTGCTCCCTCCGGCCGCCACCGGCCCACCCTCACAGGCATTTTTGCGGGCTTTCTGGCGGGCATTCTGGAACCACACTACCACCACGCGACTGGCCAGACCCAAGAGACTGGCGAGCCGCTCCACCTCTCCATCCTTGGGGTAGGCGCTGGTCTCAAAGAAAGACTGCAGCGCCTGGGTCTGGAACTCGGTGAACTTGGTCCTGGAGAACCGGCGGCCGGTGGGCACCGTCGTGGGAGGAAGGCTGCCCCTGGAGCCTTCCTCTTCCTCCGGGGCCCAGTGCGCTCCTGCCAGACTTCGCTCCTCCGATGATGTGTGGATCCCTCCGACTTCGGGCTCTGGAACCATGAAAGGCGGGCCCAGCTGGGGAGGTGACTCCAGGGACCCATCGGGAGGCTTGGGGGGCTCAGCTGGGGGCGGGTACAGGCTGTCATAGCTCTTTCGAAACTGGGCAGCGTAACGACTCAGGGCCTCAAAGGGCAGGAAGCGGCGGTGAACGTGTTCCTCGTGCGTCTTGAGGATCAGCATGTTGGAGAAGAGTTTCCCGCAGGCCCCGCAGGCCAGCTTGTCTCCACCGCCCAGAGACTCCGGGGGAGGCGGCGTTGGGGGCGGGGGCACTGCCTGCTTCCCCTCGTTGTACTGAATCACTAACTCAAAGCCGAAGTTTTCTAGAAGGGCCTTGGCGGCCGTGCGGGCAGCCTCATTGGGCGACGCGTGGGGCGGTGAGGAGGGCCCGGCTTCGCCCCCCTCTTCAGCGATGAGGGGCCGCTCCCATTCCTGCTCAGCCAGCTCAGCCTTGGGGGGTGCGGGGAGAGGAGGCGGGGTGGCAGCTGGGAGGGACAGCATGGGCGCAGGACTAGCCAGGGCCAGCTTGGGCCCCACCTTGAGGTCATGGAGGTAGAAGGGCAGGAGCAGCTGCTGCTGCTGCTGGAGCTTAAGCAGCGATTCCGGAACCAGAGGGAAGGGGGGCAGCACGGGTGGGGTGAAGAGGGGGGCTGGGAACCGGTGCAGGTCCAAGGGAGGGGGTGGTGGAGACAGGAAGGGCAGTCCAGACATGAAGCCCCCGGGCTCGGGGCCTTTCTTCTCAGGGAGTACCTCGCCCTCAGGCTCGCCTTCCTTGAGCTCGTCTTGGCTGCGCTCCGATCCTTCAGCCTTGGCATCAGCCTTGGCCCCCCTGGAGCGAGTCTGGTGCAGAACGGACCGCATGTGAATCTCCAGGGTGGAGCTCTGGTTGTAGGACACTCGGCAGACCGTGCACTTGAAGGGCTTGTCCGACGTAGCGGTGGTGGGTGGCGGGATGCCAGACTCCCCTCGGGCAGGGCACGAGGGGTCAATGGCAGCCTTCTTCATCTTGTGGAGGTGGGAGACGGAATTATAATGAACCAGGAGGATGTTCTTCTGGGTGAAGGACTCCTTACACACAGTACACTTGTAGGGACGGGCAGGGTCCAGGAATTTGTCCAGGGCGAAGTTGGTGGTCTTCCGATAGGTTAGAGGGTGGCGAGAGTCAGCTGGCGATGGCTCTGCGGAGCGCGCCTCCCCCAGGGCTCCCTCTTCCTCCTCAGCCATGGCGGGGGGCGGAGCCGCTTCTTCGACTTGGGCATCAAGCTGAGGGAGCGGAGACGGGACTGGAGAAGAGGGCTGATCAGGGCTCCCCGAGGGCTTCTCTGGGCCCTCGGCTGCTGCCAGGGGAGGCTCAGGAGGAGGAGGAGGAGGATCTGGGCTGGCCTCTGGAGTCAGGTTAGAGCTTTCTACAGGAGACAGAGAGGAACTGTGTTCAAGCCGAGCTCCAGCCACTCAACATCCAAAGCCCCTGACTTGATGTCCGTTGCCTTCAAAACTCTTTGATCCCCTCTTCGGCCATTCTGGGAGGTACGCTGTACCCTTCCTTACCTGCTACCTGGTCTCTGCTGGCAGGGGGCTCTGGTCCAGGAGTGGGGCGTTCTAGGCCATCCTCCACAGGGGCTGGTGTGGGTCCAGGTAGCATTTTGGTTGCGAAGGTCATCTCTACGGTGGTGGCCTAGAATGCAGGAGATCCTAGTGGCCTCAGCACTATTCACTGGCCTACGCTATTCCTGACCCTTTCCCCGGGATCCACTCTCCTGTCTAGACAAACCTCCCAATGAATTGATGCTTTTCTTTGGATGAGGGACCGGGTAGGCAGCTGCCCTGACCCCCTTCCCCAGGCTAAAAGTATCTTACCTCAAGACTACCTGGTTCTGCTATTAACAACTCTTTTCATGGGTTAGTGGAAGCGAGAGGAATGCAAGGTTGTCTTGTCAGGAGTGGAGGAAACTAGGCAAGCTTCACGCTGAGAGCCTCCACACCAACTTTAAAATCTCTCTAGAATGCTGTTTTCCTCACCTCCCACCCCCAGCACACTGGCCTGGGTATTGTTGCCTCTCCCTGTCTTCCCACGCTGCCCTGACAGGACTGTGAGACCGTTTTCCCTCAGCCGGCACTCACCACAAGCAGCAGCTTCTCAACGCACTCGGGCACCACGTTGTGAAGGTGGCTGAGGTGGAAGTGCAGGGCAGGCCGGCCCACCAGCTGCTCCTGGCAGAGTGGGCACCTGTACTTGGGCTGCACGGCATGCTGGGAGAGTGTATGGACCCTCACCTGGTCAGACTCTGGGCTCAGGAAGCTGCAGTATGGACAGCAGTATACCTGGGAACACACAGGGGGGGTAGAGGAAGAGGAGTCAGGGAAGAGGTGGATCACTGTTTCTAGGATTCAGTGCAACACTGTCCCGGTCTCCAGATTTGGGAGACTCGGACAGGAAGGCACCCTGGCCCACCCAGCTCCCAACCAGTCCTGGAAGCTGGCAACTCCACTGGACGAGGACCAAGGCCTCGCTCGCCTAGGGTGCTGTTCTGACTTCCTTCTTTGCCAGCCCCCCTCCCTCCACGTGGTGTGTCTTCCCCATCTCTGACACCCTCGTCAGTCTTCCAGCCGACAGATGGCCCTGTACCAGCCTCTGCCCTGAATCTGGCTCTTACCCATAGCCCACGGCCCGTCTTTTCTGTGAAGTACATCCTTTCTTCCGGACAGTTTCCGGACCCAGAGGTCCCTTACCCCAGCCTATTTTGCTTCTTCCAGGTCCCTGAATATCTACAGAGGGTCCGATCTGTCTGCCCCTGAAGCTGCCTCTGCTGCTCCCCCTTCTCCTTCCCTTTCACTACTTCTGTTTGTTGTTTGCTTTCTTTTTTGTTTTTCGGGACAGGGTTGCTCTGTGCAGTCCTGTCTGTCCTGGAACTCACTCTGTAGACCAGGCTGACCTCAGACTCACAGAGATCCTCCTGCCTCTGCCTCCCAAGTGCTGGGATTAAAGGTGTGCGCCACCACCGCCTGGCTTCACTACTTCCTCTTCTTCTTCTTTTTTTATTTATAGCTGGGCGGTGGTGGCGCACGCCTTTAATCCCAGCACTCGGGAGGCAGAGGCAGGAGGATCTCTGTGAGTTTGAGGTCAGCCTGGTCTACAGAGCAAGATCCAGGACAGGCACCAAAACTCAGAGAAACCCTGTCTCGAAAAACAAAACAAAACAAAAACAAAAACAAAAAAAAAAGATTTATTTATGTATATTGGTGTTTGCCTGCATGTATGTTTGTATGAGGGTGTCAGATCCCCTGGAACTGGAGTTGCTGGGAATTGAACCCAGGTTCTTGGGAAGAACAACCAGTGCTCTTAACTGCTTGAGCCATTGCTCCAGCCCCGGGCCTCACTACTTCTTAATATTAGTAAATGCCACTCCCCTAGTGGCCCAGGGAAATTCTGGTCTGTCCCTCAGCACACTGTGGCCTAGACCTCCAGACAGATGGAGGCAACAGAAGCCTGCTGCCACCAACGGAACTGTCTGGTGGGCATTTTGCCCGCTGCCTCAGATCAAGCTGCTCTCTCTGGCCTACCTTTCTGCTGCCCTGCACTTGCCCAGGCCTACACATCAGGGCAGGGCACCCAGGCTCACATTAGTGCACCCCTCAGGACACGGTGCAGGGAGGAGTTGGGAGAGAAACTGAGCACTGAGGTATCTCTGATGCTGCAACCGAGTCTGGGAAGCTGTGAGGCCCAGGATGGCATAAAAGACCAGAGACTTGGAATCTCCTCAGAACAGACACTTTAGAGGCCATAAGGCCAAATTGCTCCCGAGTCCTTTCAGGCCCAGGTCCTGGAGCTCAGAGCTTGTTTGGGGTCAGGTCAGCTTGCTCCGGCTTCCGGCTCCTGTAGGAAGGAACATCCTCCTAGCTGTCCTATGAGACTGCTCTTTTGTCCCCCCCCCACCCCCGCCCTGCTCTTTCCATTCCCCATGCTTCTCTCTAGTCTCTCCTACCCTCAATACAATCTCTCTCTTGACGTTTCCTCAAGGTCCCGCCATCCCTTCCTGTCGCTCCCCTTATGGGCAGCTTTCTTCCTCACACGCTGAACATACAGAACTGGCCCCGAGTAGAACTTCTCCTGTGATATTCTGAATTAAATTAGCCACAAGCACAACAAAAACCTTTAGAGTGGCGGTTCTCAACCTGCCTGGATCTCGCTCTGTAGCCCAGGCTGGCCTCGAACTCACAGAGATCCGCCTGCCTCTGCCTCCCGAGTGCTGGGATTAAAGGCGTGCGCCACCACCGCCTGGCCTAACGCTGCGACCCTTTAATGCAGTTCCTCATGACCCCCAACCATAGAATTATTTTTGTTGCTACTTCATAACTGTAATTTTGCTACTGTTATGAATCACAGTGGTCGCAGGGGACCCCAGGGGGTCGTAACCCACAGACAGGTTGAGAACCCCTGCTTTAGAGTGCGAGCTCTCAGTAAAGGCAGTCCCCCCCTTCATCGTCCCAGTTACCCCAGTTCTGACCGTGATCTGGTTGGCACCGTCTGTGGAAAGGCCGGTTCTGTCCTCTGTCACGCCAGAAGCTGAGGGCGAGAGGAGAGGATGTTAGAGGACTCCTCAATCCTCTCCCCTTCTTGCACAGCCCCTCTGCTAACGTAGAGCTTTCAGGGTGGGAAGTGGGCTGCTCAGATCGGACAAGATGGGCAAGGAACTCGGCAGCAGCAGGGGAGGCCTGGCAGGGATGACTTCCGGGCTAGCCAGGGCTGGGTTTTCAAAGAGGCCAGAGAGACGCCTGGGCTGGCATGACCTCTTTTCCCTTCCCGTGCCTTTGGTCAGTTTTGCTCCTTCTGGGAAGGAGGCCTTTTGGGGTGCTCGGGTTTCTGATGGGTCCCCTGAACATCCCAGGACACATAGTGAACTGGACCAGGGAAACGGGTCGGAGGCTCACCCAAATGTTCTGTCTTGTTCTGGGCATCTTTCTCAGAGGTGGGCGGCTTAGAGAAGGGGGTGTCAGCCTTCCCTGTGTGGGATGGAGAGAGAGTCAGCACACCCCGGTGAACACTGGGGAAGGAGGGAGGACACAGGGCAGAGGAAGCAGGACAAGCAGCCAGTCGGTGAAGAAATGGATGGGTGAATCGGGAGGCAGGAAAGGATGAAAAGCCACCGGGAGAAACACAGGGTAAAAGTGAAAATTCCAATAACGGAACAGTAGGGCAAGCCTAGCACCCCATCCCTAGAAACAAGTCCCACCATAGGACTGGACTAAACTTGGCCTCCTGGCCTGACAGACCCTGGAAAGGGGAAGCCCCCAAAACACAGCGGGAGGGGCATCGCAAATGCTGAATGAGGCGGCGGCTGTAGTGAACGGGAGGCGATGGGCAAGGAGATTACCACTCAAGGAAGAATTGACAGATGTGTAGGAATTTATTTTCGGTGGCAGCCTAATTAAAGTGTTAAAAGTTCCTTAACTCCATTCAGCCTTGCGCCAGGATCGTTAGCTATTGATCTGGGCCCCTCCAGCACTTAACTCCAGCCAGTGTATTGGCAATTCAATTAGCACTCGTCAATGCTGCCTGTTCCTGGTTCCTGCTGCCCTGCCCTCACCCTCGCCCACCGCTGGCCTCTCCAAAGCCCAGATGCCCATGCCCACCTCGGACAGCCCCTTCCAGGCTCTTCTCCTGCACCCTCTGGATCAATGGCACCTGGCTGGCTGTTCCCGGCCTCTGCTGGTACAACCTCTGCTGCCTAAGGGGGTCTCTAAGCCCAGCCTTGGGGCTGAAGACCTCCTAGGAGACAGGAAGAGGCTGGGAAACTTGTTGGGGCCTCTTCCCATCCCTGTTGCCTTTGGGCCATGCCCACAGTGCCCGTCTCCTTCCAACCAGTCTAGCCCGGCGGGAAATACGTTTTGGGCTTTTCTTTTGGCCTACCAGCCCGCACGACCAATAGAGCTACTAGTCGTTACTCAGAATCACCGGGTCGGTCATTTCCCCTTGCGGTCTTCCTGTTCTTTACTCGGCAAAGCCTCTGCCATCCTCTCCCATCTTCCTGTGGTCTCTCGTTCCTCTCTTTGCTGGGAACCCTCCCAGTCCCTGAAGCCCCCATCCTGCCTTCTCATCCCTTTCCCCACGCCTTCCTCCTTGCTGCTGGTGGCTCACAGACCCTCTTTCTCCTTTCCTCGGTCACTCCGTTATGTCCCTGCCTCTGCCGCCTCCTGCCCAGCCTGTGTGCTCCTGTTCCCTCTTCCTCACCAGGAGTTCGGAGCCGCCCATGGCTGAAGCTCAGGATGCTCTGAAGAGCTGAGAGTCCTTCTTCGGCGGCCGGGCCGTTTTGTAGCAGCCGCAGACGCCTCTGGGCCTGGGCGTCGCGGTGGGCAGGTGTGCGGAGATGCTGGAGCACGGCGAGGCGGGAGGGTGTGGCCCAGGCGCACAACAGGCAGCGGTAGAGGCCCGGCTCTGGCCCCGCCTCTGCTCCCTCCATTTCCAGGAGAAACTAGAACCATGGAAGAGGCCGGCTCAGATGCAGAAGGGGCAGCTCCAGATCTCTGGGGACACTCCCTCCTCACTGGACTCTTACCCCTGGCTCCCCTCCGCTCCCCTTCTACAGTCACCTAGATAGCACTGCTTCGTCTCTGAACTTCCCTCCTTCTCCTCCCGACCCCGGGTTCCCGAGGATGTGGCTGCAATCTGCTGCTGTCCTCTCATACTTCTGATAACATGATGGGCCGGACTGAGACGGACTCATCCTCCGGCCTCCATTGCCAGAAGAGCTGAATAAAGTCTGTTTCCCCCCTCCTCACAGCCCACTGTCCTCTGGTCTGTTTCCAGGTCTGCCCAACACTCTGCTACCCTGGTACACGCGCGGCCCTGCTCCTCATGTCCATCACTCGGGGTTCCTCCACCACTTCTCTATTCCGCGCCTCCTTTCTCCCTGTTCCCGCTCCCTCTCCTGTCCCCCGCTGCCTGAACTTCACCTTGTAGACCTGGCTGTTTTCTTCGTGGGCTGACCCGCGGGCATGCAGCTGCATCTTCTCTTTGCTGTTGGACTCGAAGTCACAGATGTTGCAGCGCAGGTGGAGGGGGGAGACGGAGCCGTAAGCAGCCCCGTCCCCCAGGGGCAGCGGGGAAGGCGTGCCCGCGGCTCCACCCCCCTCCCGCAGGTGGGCTGCTAGCTGGTACTTCTGGGTGTGCTTGTCGGTCTTGAGGTGGAGCTGGAAGTTGGCCTTGAGCTGGGTGCCGTAGCAGCAGAGCTTGCAGCGGTGGGTGTCGCCGGCCACCTCCTTCCATTCGGCCTCTGGGAGGCTCCGGCCTATGCTGCAGTGGTAAAGCAGCAGCTCCAGGCTGTCGGTGCCGAAGGCCTGGCACACCAGGCAGCGGAACACCTTCAGGGGTGGGCTGTCGTCTGGGGAGGGCGAAGTGGGCAGGCCATCGGATGAGGAGCCCAGGAGCTGACTTGGTGGCAGATGGGTCTCAGGGGAGAGGCTGCCGGGGGCTGGGGGACAGAGACAGATTAGTGGCTAAGGAGGAAAGCAAGCGGCGGGGAGCTAATTAGGGAGCGCCATGTTACCTGGGTGGGGAGCTGACCCCTGGGAGAAGGCTTGAGTAGGGAGCAGAGTCAGGGCACTCACCAGTTGTGGGGAACTTGCGGGCAGGTGCTCCAAGGTGGTGGAAACCATTGAGAAGCAGCTGGGCTTCAAGGGGTTTGTCGGGCCTCAGCCCCGGCCCAGGCATGGGCGTCTGAGGCTGTCCTAGGGCCTGGGGCCCAAAGTACTGGAAGAGTTCAGGGGGGTTGGTGGGGGCAGTCGCCGGTGGGGGAGGGGGTCCCGGCCCCACCAGCCCCGGCGGCAGGCCGAGCGGCAGCCCCTGGTGCAGCATCAGGACGTTTTGCATGTGTTTCTCGGAAGTCATGTGGATCCGCAGGTTCCGGGAGATGTTGGTTTCGTAGCTGCACACTTTGCACTGCCAGGATGATTTGGTCTTGGGCTCTTTGTCCCCTCCGGCGGCGGCGGCGGCGGCGGCTGGGGGCGGGAGGGAGGCCTCTGGGGGACTCCCCTGGCCGCCAGGCCCCGCCTGGAAGCCCTGCAGGTTGGCCAGGTGCTTGTCGGACTGCATGTGGATGCTGAGGTTGCCTTTGGTGGTGGTGGAGTAGTTGCAGACGTCGCAGCGGTAGGGCTTGTAGCCGCAGTTGTAGCTCTCCCCGCGAGCGAGGCGGGGGTGGGCGCCGCCGGCGCTGCAGTAGCTGCAGTGGCTGTTGCTCTCCGGGTGCTTCTCCCGCATGTGCACGTCCAGGGTCTGCTGGTACTTGTAGTGCCAGTTGCACTTGGGACACTTGAGAGTCTTGCAGGAGTTGCGCGAGTGCAGCAAGGACATGTGGCTGGAGAGGCTGAGGCCCTGGAAGGCTGCAGGGGCCGGAGGGTAGTCATCGATCAGGCGGCAGGACTGAGGCAGGTCGCTGGTGTCGTCAGGAGACCCTCCCGGAGCTGGGAGCGTGGTGGCGACCTCCTTCGAGGTGGGTGAGCTTTGGTTGAGTGGGAGGCAGAGCCCTCCATCCTCTTCTTGGCCCTCAGGGAACCAGTCTGGCCCTGCCTCGCCTCTGGATACTGGTGATTCTTTGGCTTGGGTTGGGCTGGGGTCCCAGGTGGCTAGGGCTGTGGGTGGGGATGGTGGGCTGAGGGCCATAACTTCTTCAGCAGGGAGAACAAGGGCCTGCATGTCTGCCTCTGGGGGGCCATCCTCAGACTGGGCTCCGTTCGTCTCCATGGTCACTGTGCTGTTCTCAGGGACTTTAGGAGAAGGGCAAGCAAGGGGTTTTGGTTCCAGAAAGCTAAGGAAGGCCATGCCGCCATCGTCACCTTCCTGAAGTACGGCTGGGCTGCCCAGCAAGCCCTGGTGGTGGGCAGGGCTCAGCTTCACTCCATGAGAACGTGTGTGACCTATAAAGGCCCGGAGCCTGCCGAAACCCAGGCGGCATAGAAGGCAGATCCAGAACAGTGCCCTGTGGTCTCCCCATCGGCTCCCCATGGGGCCATCTTTGGGATCTTCGGTTGGGTTTGGAACCAGCTGGTAGCTCCAGAAGGATCCATCCCTTCCCTCACAGGCGGCCAGAGATGGCGCTGAGGTATCATGGGACAAAATTTGGTCAGAAGAGCTAAAGCCTTGGGTTGGGTCAAAGCCATGCTGGATGTGAAGGGCGGTAAGGTGTGAGGAGGGGAAATGGGCGAGGAGGGGCAGGCTGGGCTCTTCCTTGTCGCTTGCCTCATCCCAGGGGAAGCCCTTTGGTAACAAGAGTTCACTGCCACCTGACAGGGACGGCTTGGCCAGCAGGTAGGCCTCACCTCCAGCTGCAATGAATAAGTGGTTGCTTAGGTCCAAAGGAAGGGTTCCTTCCTCTTCCTCCTCCTCCTTTTCCACCCTGAGGTCCTTTGGTGGGATGTGACCACAGCCAGGCTCTTCTTGGGGATCTCCAATCTCCTTTGGTGGAACAAGGCCACAGCCTGACTCCAGAAGCTCTCCCCCTGGCTCTGAGGACCTTACACTCTCAGAGGGGGAGGAGGCATCAGGGGGATCTTTGGTGACAGGATCAGAGGTGCTGGAGGAGGAGGTGTCTGGAGGTGGGGACGGAGCATCGTGCCCAGGAGAAGGAACGGTACCGGAGGACGAGGCTGAGTTAAGGGTGGCCATGGTAGACGGAGGACTGCTGAGGGTTCATTTCAGCCTGACAGCCAGCACCCTGCAGGGAGGCATGGAGAGAGCAGAGCCGTCAGACCTCAGGGGCCCCGGGAAGGTTGACATCTGGACTTTCTGGTCCCGTTATGTTCCCTGAGCACCAGACTCCGGTGCCCTCAGGTCAAAGCCCATCAGGCCTAAACATTAACACATCTAAAACTAGAATTCACTGTTGCTCTCCAAACTAGCTCTTCTCTGTCTTGCAATCTCAAACCTGGTACTTTTTACCCTTCTGCGGAGGCATGCCCATCCCATGCTCTGAATTTCCACAGCAAGCTTCAGGATGCACCAGACCCTGCCCTTCCCATCTCCCCACCAGCGTCATCTTGGCCCAAGCCACGGTTAACTTCCCCAGCTAGTGCAACAGATGGGCTGCTCATCTCCACCCCTGCCTTCTGCAGTCTAGGGTCTCCGCCTAAGAGCCACAATGACCACTGCGCCTGCAACTACGAAAACCGCCAACTGTTTGCAGGAGACCCTTTATCTGCCACCAAGCAACTCATGAGCAGTCTTATTTCGTTTGTATCCTCACCGGCTCTCCCACTTTTCACAATCTGTTTTAAAATAAATTGTAGGTCATAATTTTCTCTTCTTTTCTTTCCTTCTTTCTCTTTTTGACAGGCTCTCATGTAAACTAGGCTGACCTTGAACTTCTGATTCTCTGACTTCTACCTCTACTAGGATGAAAAGTGCGCACCAGCACACCCAGTTCATGCAGTCCTGGGAATGGAACCCAGGGCGTTGTGACTCCTGGGAAAACACTCCACCAATTGATCTATGTCCTTAGCCCTCCCTCAGAGCTGTCTTATAAAAAAGTTACTCAGGTGTATTTGTGTGCTGCGGCACACACATGGAGATCAGGGAGCAATCTTACTTCTCTCTCTCCACTACATGGGTCCTGGGGACGGAACTCGGGTTGTCGTTCTTGGAAGCAAGCATTCTCACCTGCTAGGCCAGCTTGTCAGCCCTCATAATTGTCTTTAAACACGGAAATCATACTCCATTCTACTTAAAAAACCATCAGTGGCTTCCCATTGCACTCAATAAAATCCAGACCCCTTTCCCTAATCCGCAAGGTCCGACCTGCCAGAAAGTCCACTTTTAGTCTCCCTCCAGACTGCCCTGTTTTAATCCACTGGCCAGCTAGTCAGCCTTCCTGCCTCTCTTTGTCCCCACAACACCCTCTCCCTCTCCTTCGTGGTCTTTCCTGTTTCTCAAACAAGCCAACTTTATTCCTGCTTGGGGGTCCTCGTCTAAGAGTTTAGTCTGTCTGGGGACTCCTCGACACTCATGTCTGCCCTCAGACTTTTCGCGGCCTAGTGAAACATTTTTCCCGACTTCCTCATTTCCCTTCTAGAGGATTGGTTTCCTGGGAGACTCTATCTGCTTTCGATTTCTCTACGATTACACAGACACAGTCTGGTTCTCGTATAACCTAGGCTAGCCTTAAATTAAAGTAGCTGAGAATAACCTTGAATCCTCCTACCTCTACCGCCCAAATGCTGGGATTATAGGCATGTGCTATCGTGCTAATAAATATCTTTCGAACGAATGAGCCCTCGGAAAAAGCCTCAGGTCTGGCTCCTAGTCAAAGGTCTTCTTGCTTTCCCTGGCACACATCTTTCTCAGTGCATTCCAGATCTAGACTGGCTGGGACACGCTGAGTCAGAGGAACTTCCCTGAAGCTGTCTCCTCTCCAAATTGGAGATAAAAATATTAGTAGTAAGTCCTAGTAATAATGGTTCTAGCAGCTATTATTTATAGCATGGTCTTGGTAACAGCTAACGGTTTACTGGTATCTCACTTCATCTCACAGTATTTGTATTTGGAGATGAGGAAGCCAAGAAACTCTCAGGTTTACATACGTAACCAGGCTCCAAAATGGTGGGAAGCGCTTAGGTGATAGAATGATTATCTAGCATGCATGAAGTCCTGGGCATAATTCCCAGCTCTGCATCAATGGGGATAGGCTCAGCTTGTAATCCCAGTACTCTGGCAACAGAGGCAGGAGGATCAGAAGACCTGGCTACATGGAGTTCAAGACCAGTGTAGGATACATGAGACTCTGTCTCAAATAAATAAATAAAAATAAAAAATAAAAATTGGTGTGTGTGTGTTTGTAGACATAAAACAGGCAGAATTAGCAGTCTCCCAAGAGCTAGGAATCAGGAATAGTGGATAAGGCCAGCAGGGCGCCCACCTTCCTCAAATGATCAGTTCCCTGAGCATCCATCTAACTCCTCTCCCACCGTCTGTATGATGAAATGGCTAATATTCAGGCCACCCTGCTTCAGAGAAAGCGTGAGGGGATGGCTTCCTTCTCCTTGGGCCATCTTTAACCCTCATCTCCAGATTCCCAGATTTGATATGGGTCCTTGGTCCAGGCGCCGTGTGGCCTTCAAGACTATTTCCCCTTCCCTCCCCCTCCTGTGAGGCCAGCTAGGTGTGAGTCAGAACCTTCAAGGAATTCTTGGGGGGCAGGATTAGTATGGTAATGAAATGCAAAGAAGTACCAGGTAAACGGGCTGAGGAGAAATCAAAAGGCAAGTGAGGAAACAGAATGGGGTCGGGGGTGGGGTGCAGATCGCTGGTTAAGCAGGCAGTGGGAGCCGAGGAATTGCCGGAGAAAGGCATTTCTCCTATGGACAGAGGAAGGAAGTCTGCTGGATTGGGAGGGTTCAGTCATTTCCACAGTTGGACCCCACCACATTTTACTAACCCACCTGATAGGAGAGCTGAGGGTTGACATGGGGGAAGCATTGTCCCACCCGTCTCGGCAGCAGGATAGCCCTGCTTACAAGTATTCCCTCCCTCTTGGCTTTCCACTCAGCGCTACATCGTAGCTCAGACCCTGGAGTAACTCCCAGGTCTTCTCCCTCTAAGGCTTAATTCCCACACCTAGAAAAGGACCACTGATGGCTAAGGACAAATCAAAGGGCCAGCTTCTGGGTGAGACCCACAACGGCGCAGGGTAGGTCAGCTGGCGGCTGTTTACAATTGCAAATCTCTTCCCTACCTTCCAGCCTACCCCTCCTCTTCAGGAAAAAATTTCAATTGCAAATTTATCCCTGCCTCGCGCACCCCCGACCTATTTCCCTTGTCCCTTTCTCCTGGTGTTTCGCCCATCACACACTATTTAATTAGACTTTTGTGGTCAGGGTGCCTCCAACTTCTAATCCTTCCATCTCCCTCTCTCCCATCTCCTCTCTGAATCTCCAGGTCTCTTCTCCCCCCACCCTTGAACTGGATTTGACACCGAAGCCTCTAAAAGCCAGCGCCCACCTAACCTGCCACCCTCAGGCCAAGATTCGTGTTCACTCTGTCCCACGGCCACTGGTTCCCGTGGTCCCCAGCATTTCTTAAAAGCGCAGCTCTCGGGTGGGGCAAGCCTCACGGGAGGGTAAAGGAAGAAGTCTGCGGTCCCGGACCCCGACACTACAGCTCAGGAGGCACGGGGGATGGGGTGGGGGCGGCGGCTGGTGTTCTGGAGGTGGGGGACAGCAGAGGGACGGGGCTGGGCCGCTGCCGGGCGGAGAGGGGGGGCTGCCGAGCAGGCCGTGGCAGCAGTGTGATTAGAGCAGAGATTGATGGGAAGGGGCGCCACAGACGGCAGAGAGAGTCAATAAAACGAGAGGATCACATTAGAGGCGACAGAGAGAGCTTTAAATTACAAGGGCTGCTGCCACCACGGGGGGTGGAAGGAGGCAGCCCTGGAGCCAAGGGAGGGTACAGGGTTCCGAGGGGCGTAGGCGCCCCGAAAGATGGATCACCAGCTCTAAAGCGGGCCTTCCATTCCCCCACCCCCTCTCTCTAATGCTCCAGCCCCCCACCAGGGTGAGGTGGAGAGGAGGGGGATGAGAGAAGGAGGTGGGGAAACAGGTCTCCCCTCCCCCAGGAACTGTCACCTCCCCTTCCACCTGGTTTTCCCGTCCGCCTGGTCTTTGGGAAGGGAAGCGTGGAAGCCATGGCTGTCCCGCAAACAAGGCAGTCCTAATTACCGACCTAAGGAGGAAGGCAGAGAGAGAGAGAGATGGGGCGGGGAGGGGCGGCGGCGGGGGGGGGGGCAGGCGACAAGGCCACAGGGAGCCAGGGGCTGCCAGCCTCCCTCACATTAGGACCCGGAGAGCGGAAGTGAGATCAGGAGGCAGACACAGAACGGCCGGGATTTGAAGTTGCAGAGAGAAGCAGCGGAAGACCTTTGAGGCAAGCTCTGAGACCCTGCAAGACGGGAGACCCCTGGAGAATGACTAGTGCCGGGGGTGGGAGGTGGGGGGCAGCAGAGTACTGAAATGCCCTCACTGACAGGCCAGGGAGCCCAGGCTGGCCCACAGACCTGGGTGGGACGAGGAGGGAAAGAAACACCACTGCTCCCTAGTGGTCACGGAGGGAACATCACTGAGCCCCCGATGCCCTCGGAAAAGCAGAAGCAAAGCCGGCCCCCCTCTCTCCATTTCCTCAGGCTCAGTAAAGGACAAAAGGTTCCGTGGCCAAGTGGGTCGGAGAGCAGCATCACTTTTGCTTAAAATCTGCATACAAGGACTTTTCACATCAGCTTTCCAAACATTTTTGCCTTCAGCCAGCATTCCCTTAGAGTCAATTCATAAACTCTGTGTGTGTGTGTGTGTGTAGGGTCTCTTTTAGCCCCAGCTGGCTTGCTTTTGGTGTGTGGTGCTGGAGGATGTACCCACCAGGCAACAGGTCTAGCACTGAGATACTCCCAGCCCCGGGCTTTACATCTCAAGGTGGAAGGGCATGGGCCCATGCAGATCAAGATCATCGTGGCTCCACCACTCACTGGCTGTCAGCCTTGGCAAGTTGCTCATCCAGACTATTTCCTCAAGTGGAAAACGGGAGTAATGACGTGAGGACCAGAAAAGGCAACATGAAAGTGTTTGGCCTGGGTGTCAGTGAGGTCCTTCCTTTACCTCCTGTGGTGGCTATCTCCTTCCTGGGGCAGAGTACAGTGTGAGAGAAGGCTGACATCCCTCTGCTTTGTATTGATGA